AGTTGGAACATTGTCAACACAAGTAGCTGCTAACTTCACAATCCCTCAAACACCACATGAACATCAATCTTTGTACTCCCCCAGGACCTCCTGGAGGCCTTTTCTCGACCTCTTGGGGGTCTCCTGAAGCACTTGCTTGAGGCATTATGACTTGCCGCCAGCCCAGCTCCTCAACCCGACAGGCCGCAGCGTCGACGACAAGAAAGTCCATGTTGACAAGCAGGCGTCCCCGCGTGATGTGCGCCGCGCCCCATTCCCGCTAGTCGATTCGCAGCGCCGACGAGGAGAAAGTACATGTTGGCAAGAATAACGTCGACGTTGCTGTGTTTTTCTTGACAAATAGGACGGGGGGTCTTGCGTAGGGTTGGCCAGGCGTCCGCGCGCGATGTGCGCCGCGTCCCATTCTTGCTACACTGGTCGCAGGGTCCACGACAAGAAAGTCCATGTTGACGGGAACAACGTTGACTTTGCATTTTTCTTGATAGGTAGGACGCGGCCGCCCGCTTAGGGGCTCCCAAGCGATGTTCGTTCCGTACCACTCCTGCTACACTTTTCGCAACTCGACGACATGTTGGCGAGACAAAAATTGAGTTTGCAGTGTTTGTTGACAGTTCGGACGGCGGGGTTGCTATCGGCCGGCTAGGTGGGGATGTGGGGGTGTTTAATCTTAAGAAGTAAGGATGGGGTGGGGAGGGGGATAGAGGGCGAAGGGGGAGGAACACCAGGAGGAGGAGGACGAGGAGGAGGAGGGCGAACGAAGTCACTCCTCACTCGTCCTGCTCCTACCTGCTGCTGCTCCTCCTCCTCCTCTTCCTTATCCAGCGTATCCCTCCTCCTCCTCCTCCTCTTCCTCCTGCTCCTCCTCTGATTCTGCCCTTGCGGGGAGACTCGCGAGCTACCTTTCGGGGGGACTGGCGAGGGAAGGGGTGATCCGCCTGAGACTTTCCCTGGCTGGCCTAATCTGCTGCGCGTCTTGATGGACCTTTCGGCCCCGCGCGACTGGCCTCCCATGGCGACAGCGTTACCCTCGCACCGGCCCCGAACCAGGGATGAGGCATGAGGAAGGGCAGGAAGAACAGCAGAAGAGACCGCCCGCTGCGTTGCCCGCTCCCCGCATGACAAGCATGCGCGATAAGGATGCATGGGCATTGGAGGGCCGTGTTGATGCTTTTCGAGCGAGGTTGCCAGCGAGAGTCGCTGAGGATGGGCCGAAAGGGGAAGGGTGCAAGGGTAGCCTTGGAAGGTCGCTCATCCTTACCATGCGGGTTAACTGTGCCTCGTAGACGAGAAGACACAGATACCGCTGCTCCACGGACATCTCCTGGGGTGCGCTTCGACCGCGAAACCAGTCGTGACGATGAGGTAGGCGCAGCGACACGGATCGCCGGTAGGTCGGCAATCAACGGTTTCCCCAGGGGCCGTAGGCGACCCGAGGACGAGAAGGAGGAGGATGAGGAGGAGGAGGAGGAGGCTTGAGGAGGAGGATGATGGAGGAGGAGGATGGAGGAGGAGGAGGAGGAGGAGGAGGGGGAGGAGGAGGAGGAGGAGGAGGAACAGGAGAGAAGGGGAAGGATTAGGTTAGGCACGCCACAAAGGAGCAGCCACCCCAGGACAGGCACCGAAGCCCCTGCCTGACACAGCCGCCCCAGTGGTTCAATCTCGACAACATTCTGAGGAGGGAGGAGATCGGCGGCCGACGCCCGCACCCCGCCCCGCCACCTCAGCCGCGCGGCTCGATGGCCTTCCCCACGTTGGCGTCCAGGAGCGCGTCGAAAGCGTCGTGCCGCGCGACGGGCGGCCAGGCGTTCAACCACGGATCCCTGGGGGCCTTCCGAACAATGAGCTGGAGAGAGATGTCGACCTCGTTCTCGCGGCTCAGGGCGATGAACTCGTCGGACTTGCCGCGCGACTTCATCGAGGCCAAGCGCTCCAGGGTCCGCTGCACCTGCTGCTGGACCACCTCCGTGGGGGGGACGACCTCCTTCGCCTGTCCCTTGACCGCCGCACGGCCCACCGCGGCCGCTGCCGCGGGCTGCTGGCGCTCCCCAGCCGAGTCGACGGGCTGCAGGTCGCCTCGGCTGTCGACATGGGTCGCCATGCCGTCGGCGACGGGGCCCTCACGGGCCGCCACGGCGCTCCGAGCGCGCGGAGGAGCCTGCCGAGCCGCTGCCGCCGCCTGCGCGCCTGGGCCCCCGCCCAGCGTGCCAGCCGCCGCTGCGCCGCCGCCGCCGTTGTGCCGCTGCTCCTGCTTGCCACCGTCGGGGCCCGACCCGTAGGGCGGGGGCCCAGCACCGCGCCCCCCGCGCCCGCGAGGCCGCTGGCGCCTCGGGGAGGGCGCCGCGGCCGCGGGCGAGGGAGGCGGCACCGCCTTCGAGCCGAGCTCGACGATGGCTGCGCGAAGCAGCCCCTCAGCGGCGCGCAGCATGCGCACTCCCGCGCGGGAGTGGCACGCCGCGAGGCCGCTGGCAGCATGCGCCGCCAGGAGCGCCCCGCGCGCTGCCTCGGCAGCGGCGCGAGGCCCGGAGGGACCGGCCATCGCTGCCCTTCCTCAGCCTCCACCCGACGCCGAAACGTCAAGCGGGCAGGTCAGTGCGGGCGCGCGGCCTGCGTCGGGCGGGGCGGCGCGCGGCGGGGCCGCGGGGAGGCCTGCACCAGTAGCCGACTGGAGAGAAGGGGAAGGAGGAGGAGGAGGAGGAGGAGGAGGAAACAGGAAGAGGTACCCCCTGCTGCGCACCGCTCTTCCGCATCGTGTCGGGCCCAGTGCGGCGTGTCCGACGCCCGAACGGGGGGGGGGTGGAGGCCCGCGTGTCCTCGGGGGCTGCGCACACCTGAACGGGCCCCCGACTGGCTCCTGTGCACAGGCCGCCACCGTGCCTCGAGCGCCTGGAGGAGTGCCCCCAGGGCTCGAGCAGATTAGGAGGGCACCAACTATACACCAACACCGATCCTGGCCAGGATCACCCTGGGCCTAGGATCGGTGTATACGCCCTCCTGCCTGGGGCAAGAAGGCATATACACCGATTCTGGGCCCAAGATTGGCCTGGCCAAGATCGGTGTTGGTGTATAGCTGGTGCCCTCCGACAGATGTGCCAGAGTGGATGCGGGATTCGTAGGGGCCAGGCCCCCGATGTGCAAGAAAGCGTCCGTCGTGGCCAGAGCGGGCGTTGTGGGAGGGGGGCGATGGCATGCTCGTCGGTCGGAAGGAGTGGGTAGAAGCACGAAGTGGGAAGACGGCAAAAGTAGGCTGGGCTTCCGCCCGCCCCCTGAAGAGGAAGGGAGAGGGGGAGTCACTCGATCGTTAGAGTAGGAAGGTGCGAAAAGTAGATTGGGATCTGGGAATCCAGAAATACCCACTTTCAACGACCGACGAATAACGTACCCCCCACCCCCAATATACCCCCCAGCACCGCCGTAGCGCTCGCGCGCATCTCAGCGTTGCAGCAAGGTTTAGTCGTGACACCCGTGCGCACCACAGGGCGTATGCCCGCGAGCACCACGCGCGACTGGCACCACCGGACGACGAGGGGAGGGACGACAGACACTGCCAGAACCACGCCAGCCGTACAAGCGCAACAGTGCACGACACAGTATGCCAGACGATTCGATCTATGTACGTCGCCGAGCCGTTCGTTCTGAACGCGCCTGCGTAGACGAAGTCGGCACGGCGGCAAACTCCACGACGAACCTTGCATTGGAGGTGGAGTTTGCCCTGGTGGCCGAGGCGCCCTCTGAAGGACGTCAAACTCGCCGACGCAGACGAGAAGCTACAGAGCTACCTCAAATGACGTACCCCCGAGCGGAACTGACGCGTCCAACCACATCGGCGGGCTGTCCTGCGAGAGATGGTGGCGAATGCCAGGCTCTGACATCGGCACGCCGCGTGCGAGCAAAGCAGCTTGCGACGTGCATGCACGTGCAACCGCAACTGCGCGCGGTGCCGAAACAACCCTACTGGTACCACAATGGCCCGCGAGCGCTGCACCATGGATTCGAAGAGAGCATGCTCTGTCTTGGGCACCTACGTGGCTTGAGAGCACCCCTGCACGCCTGAGAGCAGCGCGATGTGCTCCCGACCACTAAGCTGGCGAGGGGAGGGGAACTGGGGGGGGGGAGGAGGAGGAGGAGAGGAGGAGGAGGAGGAGGAGGAGGAGGAGGAGGAGGAGGAGGAGGAGGAGGAGGAGGAGGAGGAGGAAGGAGGAGGAGGAATGGGAGGAGGAGGAGGGGGAGGAGGAGGAGGAGGAGGAGGAGGAGGAGGAGGAGGAGGAGGAGGAGGAGGGCGAGGAGGAGGAATTGGAGGAGGAGGAAGAGGAGGGGGAGGAGGAGGAGGAGGAGGAGGAGGAGGAGGAGGACGGGGGGTGTGGAGGAGAGTGGGAATACGAGGGCGACGGGGAGGACGAGGAGGATCAGCATGAGGAGGAGACAATGAAGGCGACGACGACGACGACGATGACGACAACCACAACTGGGATGACGCAAATAGTGGCGATGATGATGACCACGACGGCGACGCCGACGCACGCCGCCAAACGCTGACGGACGCCGACGACGACGACGCCGACGGGGACAAGACCACGATGACAAAAGCGACGACGAGGACGACGACGAGCACGAGGAGGGCGAGGGGAAGGAGAAAAATGAGCAGGGGGAGCATGACGAGCACTGATGAGGAGGGGAGGTGGAGGAGGAAGACCAGGAATTTGATCAGGCAGACGAGGGGACGGGGGCAAGCGGGACGACGGGGAGGAAGCCCAGGAGGAGTAGGAGTGGGACGACGACGCCGACGACGACGACGGCGCCGGCATCGTCGAAGCTGTCGCACTCTGGACTCCCCCAGACGGCTTGTTCACACCACAACGTGCTCGCGTTCGCAAGGCGGCCATGCAAGCCAGACCCTGCCAGCACCACAATAATGCTCGAGCGCCATGGGTGTACGCAAGAACACGCCAGACCCTGCAAGTGCCAGTGTCTCATTAGCCTGCGAGCACCGCGCCATATTCGCAAGCACAGGCAACAAGCCTGTGAAGACCGCAGCAGCCTGCGAGCAGCACAGTAGACTGCGCGCACTACTGTAGCCTGCGAGCACGTTGCGACGAAGCCGCGGTGCACGCGTGCGCTGCGGCAGTGCTAGGGGCGCACTGCGGCGCACTGCTTTTGGAGGGGGGGGGGCGTCAGGTTGGGGGTTGGGGGTGAAAAGAGGGGGGGAGGCCAAAACGCTCGCCATGGCCCAAGCCCTGAACATCAACACGCTCCATGAGTTCTCTGGCGCTCAGGACGTGGCGCATGGGGCTCCAGAGGGTGCGCTGGGTCAAGCGCCCGGGACCCCTCCAGCCGGGAGGCGACCAGAAGGCGACCCCAGGGCCGCCCGAGGGGCTTCCTGGAGATCTCCCGGCGGTCCCCGAGCCAGGGTGAGGGGTTGGGACACGGGCCACTTGGCATTTCCCTGCATGGTGCGAAGAGCAGACCCGATTAGTGTTACCTGGCAGAGGAAAGTGGGGGGCAGAACGAGGATGGCTCATATCCACATCATGTCAAGACTTACTCGCCTGCTTCAGACACCAACCATCATCTACACCATCAATTGCAACCGCCACCGTCATCGTCACAACTACTCCCAGCCGTCATGGCCTGCAACGCTTCTTCATGTGCAGCGCCTACGTGTGCAAGCGACCACACAAGCATCTGATGCAATGCAGAGTAGAGAGATGCATGCAATGATGATCTTTTGTGATACGGGCACAGGCCTTCACTGGCGCTCCCACCTCCAGATTGTAACATCACCTGACAAGCCACATGTAGTGAACATCCCCCCAGCGTTCATGTCCACGATTGCAGAAACAGCCCCAGAATCCGACGACCCCCACTTGCTGGCGGGTACAAGGCGTGCGAGATCTTTGGCTGTCCTCCTCCTCCGTTCCCCTGCCCTGGGTGCCCCAACTCATGTTTCAGGGGGTGGGGGTGGGCACGGTGTAGCCAGGGAGCTCACGAGCCTCGGTCAAATACACTCTCGTACGCCTCCAAGATACCCAAGATGCCATTCAAGACGGCTCCACACGGGCTCCAGCACGGTCAAGAGGCCTCGGCAAGAACTCAAGAGACCCACATTTACTAGAAGAAATCCAAACTCCGCCGACCTTGTCAGCGTGTGGAGTGTGCGAGACGTTTTTCCGTTCGCGTCGCCGTCGCCACTCTCACGCGACCCAGCCAGACGAATATCGCACAATGTTATAATCGAGGAGTTGAACGGGAGCCTCTTTCCCTCTTTCCTCAAATCCCTTCCCTGCGCTGGGAGAGAGGGATGGTCCCGGGGGTCGTGACCACCTTCTCTGGGTCTCTCCGACCAAGACGGCCCAAAAGAGCCCCACGAAGCTGCAAGAGGGGAGACACCCATCGAGTCAAAGGGAAGGCCCTCGAGCCCTTCCGGGTGGAGTGGGACGGTCCCGGGAGGGAATTGCCGCGGCGGTTCCGAGGGGAATCCCCAGGGAAGGGGTCTCGAGGCGAACAGGGCCCACAAGGGAGCCCACGAGGGCTCGCGAGCGTCGACATCGTCGTCGTCGTCGTCGTCGCCGCCGCCGCCGTCGTTGTCGTCCCCCTCCAGGATCGGGGGCACTGGCTGTAGGCCTTCTCTCCGCACTATGTCCCAAGAGGAACATCAGACACCCAACATATGCAATAATACACGTTCTGCATGTGTTTGCTGCCTTGCCCTATCGTTTCCAGACGCCTCCGGGATGGTCCAGGAAGCCTCAAGACGGCCCCACCCAGGTTACCCCCCAAGATGGCCCCAGTGGTGCCTAGCTTGCCTCGAAGACGGCCCCAACATGTGTCCAAGACCGCCCAGGACCGCCCGAAGACTGCCCCACGCGGCTTTCAAATCTTGCCGAACAACACTCATACCCCCAACTTGACACCACGATGACTCTAGGGGGTCCCAAGAGAGACGCAAGAGAGCCCTTGAGGGCAGCAACAACACCTTGCAAGGCCTCACTAGGGCCCCGATTGATGCCTAAATGTTAGGTCACACACGTGTCTGATCATTCGATTTGCGTGCAAATTCCATAGTTGGAGCTGCTTTGTTTCCTGGTTTGTGGATTCACGAATTGCTGCCTCCTGTCGTTGATGATGCTCGAAAATGGGACTCTTGTCCATTCGAAGATCATACTCTCGAAACCTCCCATCGCCATTCCTCATACGTGCCACGGCGATCCTTCTCTTCCCCATTTCCCCTCTTCCTCCTTCGCATCCACATCATTATGCTGCTTCTTGTAGCCCTCAGTCAGGACTCACCATGCAACGACATGCCAGGCAACAACTGCTCCGACGGAGGGCCCACCACTGAGGGGATGGTCACAAAGCCTTCCCGATGTCCTGCCCAATCCCCCACTCTTGTCTATCCGCCCCTCCTTATCTTCACACCACTGGTCGCAACTTCTCGAGCTCTACCGTGCTCGGGCAACCTGTGCAGCGCAGAGTTCACTCGGCCCGCTTACCTGTTCGAGGGTT